ACTGCCACATGAGCTGACAATTTAGGATTGCTGTTGAAGATGCCCTAAGGACGTCTCCAACGGTATGAGCTAGCACTAGTTCTAAGCTACTAAATATGGCGGAGAGATAGACTGCCCTAAACATTGTGTTGTTAGAGAGGAACACGTCGTGAAGTGTGCGATACTATCTCTCAAATCCATGTTAGTTTCTTGTCTTTTGTACTATTTATTGATTAAAAAAATTCATGAGCTAGTTCTAAGCTAGACTTTTGAAGACTCTCGGGTGTGGACTCGCCATGGCGACGACTAATAACCTGCCTCTCAAGTCTTCCTACAATTGCAAATACTCCCGGAGTTAATTAGGATTCCTTTCAGCATTGGAGACTCACTTTCTATGGGCATGACTTATGTACGTATATATTCGTTAGTTAGACTAGTAAATGCGTGTTAGATGAGGCAGGACCATGAAGGTGTAGTACTCGTTTTCTTTGATGTGACGTGGACCATGTATTTTTCAAGAAATTTGTTTCCAACAATTTCTAATTCAATAAGAAGTATATTCAAAAGGGGTTAACTCCCTTCAACGAGTTCGGCAACATAACTCATAGTCAATGGGAGGAGCTCGTGGCTCAGAAGACTTCACCGGAGGCATTGAAGCTCAGTGCCCGTAACACCGAGCTGGCGAAGAGGAACAAATACCACTATCATCTAGGCCCCGGTGGCTACTATGCCAAGGAAGAGCAGTTTAGGAAGATGGACGAAGAGGACACGGCTTTTGAGAATATCGATGTGAAGAATTTGAAGGTACGCTCAAGGAATTGGATATATGCGAGGAGTGTAGAATCATCCGGCGGTAATCTTAAGTTTAATAAGGCGGAGACCCAAGAGGCAGAATCAAGGATACTGAAATATGCTGAAGACAAGAAGAATGGCTCATTCAATCCTTCCAGAGAAAGAGACAAGCTTAGCATTGGCTTGGTAAACAATGAGCACACAGGACGCACCAGGGGACTAGGGAAAAGGATGACCTAGAAGCACGTATTCGAAGAGGACAGGCACATTTACAAGAAACCTGGCAGAGACCGGGAGGCTAACCTTGAGTTCCAAGTGAATGCTCTAGTTGCGAAGGCGCTGGAGGAGCAAGGACTGTCTATGGAGCCACGGACATTAATGGCGTCGCTGGGAGAACTGACATTAGTTGGCAGCCCTCTGGAAGTTCCTAGTAGCCAAGGTTCCACTGCAGCCACAACCCCCGTCGATCGCATACGGGAACCAACTAGTTGCACCTTGGTGTTTCTCAGCGGCCGGCAGAACATTGTGATGGACGTGGCAACGGGTGTGGTACATCCTCCCGATGGCTTACACCACAATTATAAGATACCGCCGGACTATACTAGGGTCGAGGTGCATACCGTGAAGCCCGAGTTCATGCAGTGGAGGATAGACTACGCAACTCCCGAGTGGCTGGTGTTACTCGAAGACGTAATGGGGCAGTTCATCCTCTAGCACAAATGGGACATTATATTGATTGCTTCTTCGCTGCCTCCCCCTCTCTCAAATTTGTAGTGAGTTGTTGAGTATGGGGAGATATTTTCACCGTCTCGTGACCACCACATTCCTGAGATGCCACATTCTTCCTCGCCTCCTAGCGAGCATGTGCCTGATAAGCCACAACCTTCTCTAGCTCGTACCGAGCAAGTGCATGATGAGATGCCACAATCTTCTCAACAAGTGCAGCTGATACATGAACAACGAGTGCCTCCTGAAGAATGTGATGCATAAGAAGATGAGGACGTGCCTGAATGGGAACTTCAAAAGAAGCATTCAATCACCATAAGGCTAATTTATGTTCCGATGAAAGACGTCTCGTCGGTGCACAAGTGGTATGCCCATGACCAGTTCAAGCCTGAGAACCAAGTTAAAAAAGTCCCAACACGGACTTCTGAGGAGGCCGTCACTAGCAAAGTCCACCAAACAGCAAAGAAGTATCGAAATGTTGATGGCATCAAATGGTCAAAGGATTGCCCGAAAACATATGTAAGAGGCAAGCCCTTCCTACCAAACCGAGACATCCAGCGCCTACCACATGGAATGAGAAGGTTTCATGATTGGTACTTGCGTGTTCTCCTAATAAGCCTAGATCTCGTACAAGCATGCTTCCCCGCCGGCACATTTGGAAGCCCAGTCGAGAAAATTATCTTTGACTTCATTGACATGCAGACATGCTTTCACCTCGGAGCAATGTAAATGAATCTAATTCCCATGTGGAGGCTGTAAGTCCTTGCCCTCCCTATATGATATGAATCTAATCTTTGAATTTTGTTGTAACTAACCCACGCCGTGATTTGTAGAATGCAAGTGCACATTGTAAAATAAATGCCAAGTGTGAAACCCGGGTATATAGACCCTCAAGCTATAGTACAAACAAATTTTAATTACCCTAGACAGTGGAAACTAGATGTCAAAGAGCTAGCTGCTGGAAAGACCCTTCAGGAGAAAGAGGACATCTGTGCGAAGAAACTAAGGCAAGAGTCCCTTAAGGTTTCGGCATACATTGCCCTGGCTTTTAAAAATCTCCAACAACACTCTATTATAGGGCTACCAAACAACTTCGAGTAAATTCAACTCTATACTTAAAGCTTTGTTCGATATATTTTATTCGACGCAAAAGATCTTATCTAGTTGTATGATTAAATTCATGCAGCAACCACTGGATTTGTATAGACGTCGATGTTGGGAGGAGTATGGCATGGGTCTTTGATTCAATAGATAGGGACCCGGTGACATACAAAGACTTCATATCGATTCTTAAGACGTATACATATCGACAATCCTCATTAGCTTATATGTTTGTATACATACTTGTAACGTTCATTTTTTGATACTAACAAGTTGTATTTGCTAAAATAATTCAAACAGGGCATTTAGGTTCTATGTCAATGAACATCACGGAAGGCATGATCTAGTAAGGAAGGAAATGCTGGCTATAAAAATACTATGTGCGGTAAGTGTAACTTACTTTAGTACTCCATTACATGGCTGTCAAAAGTATTACTTAACATTTCCATATGCAAAACACACAGTGCCCCAAGCAGAAGCCTGGGAGTGTACATTGTGGATACTATGTATGTTCTATGATGAGTAACACCGGTGCCTATAGGAGACACCCCTTAAGGGTAAGTTTAAACCTCTCCACCCGTAGTATAAAAACTACGCACATGATATGAAATACTAAACCAAAACTTGTTCTCTTGTAGTGGAAAGAAGAGAAAGAAATAAAAAGAGACCCATACAAGGATGGCCAACTCTTAGAGCTCGCCGGCGACCTTTGCAACTTCATATTAGACCAGATTGTACACGTCAAAGGCACCTACCATGACCGAGATTTTGACTTAGGTAGAAATCATCAGTACCAACACCTTCGTGAGACTGAAAGGCTAGCTCTAGGTCGTTGATAACAATGTGTATGGAATTTAACATTGGTCTTACCTTGTGGGATGGTTTTGACTTGTGAAACGAATTAGACTTGTGAATTATGTCTATTTAATGATGGATTTTATATATTCTTGTGAATTGAACTTGTAATGGTAGTTTATATAATGCTCTTGTGCTTGTGGTCAGATTTGAATTATATATGTTCTGGCCAGATTTGAATTATATATGTATATATCTATGTTCTGGTCGAATTTGAATTGTAAATTTGAAATTTTTTGGTAGAAAAATATACTGTAGGGGCGGTTCTAGGTATTATAGTGGCGGCTAGTACTACGACCGTCCCTACAAATTAATTTGTAGGGGTGGTCTAGGAACCGCCACTACAAATGCATGATTTGTAGAGATGTTATGGTAGGGGCAGCTGACCGAGCCACCTCTACAAACCATCACCAGCCGCCCCTATAAATGCTTATTGTAGTAGTGCTACTTATCTATACACACAGAGAGTTCTTTTTAATCCGTGGAGATATGCTATAGCGATAGTCATTGCAGCATATACGTGGTCAGTATATATAGCCCCTTTCTTCACTCACTGCTGGCAGCATGTCCCCGTAATAAAAAAAGTTAGCCTGAACTGTAAAAAGGCGGGTGGATTTGAACACCGAAACCATCTAGAAACTCAATGGGCCTTGGAGGGGCATAAGAAAGTTCAACGAGAGTCGAGAGGGATAAAACAATTATTGTCCCATGTGTTAATTGCTTCAAAGGGTTGAGAGGGACAAGGTATCAAGGTAATACCACTAACAGAAAATGTAGATTCCAAAGTCGTAATCTGCAAGTTCGCAACGAGATTGGTGGAGTTTGGATTGAATTCGGAATGACCTGCACTCGGACAGACAAAGCCGGCCTGAGTCGGTTTCGACCGCAGGGCACACCGAGTGAAAACCGGACTGGTTGGAATGTCACTGCGTATCTTTACCCAAAATTGTTCCAAATTTGATTCTTTTTGTTTCTAATTGCTTCCCAATCCAATACAAATATCTTTGTTTTTTTTTGGCTGTCAACACTAGTATTTCATAAAGTACTGGTCAGGAGATTTCTTTCTCTGTATGGCCGAGAGACATCATCCCACCGAAGTAATGCATCTTGTAAGAGATGATTACATTATTAGACTTGCCTCGTGTTTGAAAAAAAGAGTGGATCACAATTGTTTGCCCCACGTGATGAAATATGTTGAGAGAGATTCTCGGGATATATACTAGTACTAGTACTAATGGGAGGTCCCCAACGGAGTTTCAACACCATTTCTCATGAAACCCACAAAATAAATATCGAAAAAATCCTCAAATCAATCGGAAATATTTGTTCATTAATTCGATGTAAACTCTAATCATTGTTTAAAATTATAGCCATTTTTTTGTTTTAAATTATAGGCATTTTTGCCATACACCATTGAAGCATTCCAATAGTTGACCGCGACTCCTGCAGGATGCGACAGCACTATATAGGCGCGCATATAATGTACAGCCCGGGCCAACAAGCAAAGCATAGTCTGAAACTCAAAGCATGCTATCTCACCGATTGTCATGGCTTTCCTCCACTCCACCATCTTCCTCGGCGCCGCCTTGCTCCTCGCCGCCGGTGTCTACATCCGCAGACACGACACGGGTGGCAGCGGCGCCACCACACACCTCCACTTCTTCATGCACGACGACTACACTGGGCCGCACCCCACTGCCATGCGGGTCGTGTCCGGCCGGTCCCTCTTGTTACCCACGGCGTCCAGCGATGACGATGTCGGCGCCAACAACGACAGCGCCACCGCTGGGAGCACGCGATCGTCACTGCTGCTGTTATCGCCGCGGCAGTTCGGCGACGTCGTGGTGCTGAACAACGCGCTGACGGAAGGCCCCGGCGGGGACAGCGCGCGCGTCGGCACGGCGCAGGGTTTCGCCGTGCGCGTGTCGGAGGGCGGCATCGTGTCGCACCTGACCATGCACATGGTGCTTGAGGCCGGCGAGCACCGCGGCAGCTCCGTGACAGCGAACGGCCGCATCGACATGGACGCCAAGGTGCGTGAGTCTGTGATCGTCGGCGGCACCGGAAAGTTCCGGTTCGCGCGGGGGTACATGCTCACCAGGAACTACGACTACGACCTTGCCCATGGAGGCGTCGTCGAGATCGATGTCTACGTGCAGCACTAGCTTTTTGAGTTCATTGGTTTCATGTGTGTATGTCGGGTCGTCGTTCACATGCGTATTATGGTTATTATTGCTATATACTCCGTATGTGCGTTGCTCGTTGATGTTGCTATGCATGGGTGTGCTTTTTTATGTTTCTTTGGTACATGCCAACTGCAATTGTTCAATAATTACGTAAAATCTACTTTGCACATGTACTGGTATGATACCCCAAGGACATGAACTGACATGTTAGCCTTATCTCGTGGGACCTAGCATGAATGACAATAAGTAATAGCTAGACACAACTAGAAAATGGAATATCCTTAGTGGCCAACAATTTTCTGGAGGAGCGAACCCAAGCATATACATATATTATTATCTTGTTGTATGAAACATCCAAGGAAATACATATTCTTGAGTGCTACTCCCTCTAGTCCCTTTTATCTGGCGTGCAAGCGTTTTTTTGGTTTGGCCACAATAACCGGCGGCTGAAATACTGAGGGCACTAGTCATTACTACGCATATGCATGCATGCATGGCTGTTTTATTCACTAAGAAAACAGCACCGTGTTAATCACGCGAGGAACATTAAATAGGAAGCCCATATTTCTAGAAGTGTCTTAGTACCTGGAAACTCTGTTCTCACGCCAGATAAAAGGGAACCGAGGGAGTAACCAAAACCATCAAGGTATTCTATTTTCTTGAGTGCTAGTCAAAACCGTCTAGGTAGTTCTATATTTTCTTGAGTGTTATTACAAACCGCCAAGGTATTTCTCATCCCCCTTGGTGCTTTTCAAAACCGCCAAGGTAATTCATATTTCCTTGAGTGTTATTAAAAACCGTCATCGTAATTCACATTTCCTTGGATGTAATTAGAGAGTTCCTTGGGTGCAAACCTAGATTGTTGTAAGTGTCAAGAAAAAATGTTCAGATTCTACTCATTCCTCCTACCCACCAATATAATGGACTCATTGCATTCTTGTTAGTTAGACCTTGCATTTTATAGACATAAATGCTCCCTTGACATGGTTGTGAAATGAAATACAGTTATTTTTTTTATATTACTCCAACAAAAGGTACAATTTTGAGTTGTCAGAGAATGTATATTGGCACTTACCTTGAGATCTCTATTTAGTTTAAAAACTAGCATGCAACATAGCAGTATTGTATGAAAGGCAAACTTTATATCAAAATTGTAGAGCCCAAAGAGATATATAACTTTGCAATTGATAACTTTGTTCATTTGAAATTATTTAGAGTAAAAAAATATTATGTTTTAAGTTCTTAGAGTTTTGAATTTTTTGTTTTTTGCGTTTTCCAAACGCCATCAGAAGGTGATACAACCTAAACCAAAGTTACACTCAATGTATCGGTGATATGTACCCAGTGTACCTCACGGCATGGATAACAGCCCAAGTAGGACAGAGCACCAAGTGGGCTACACGAGAAGCCTAGCCCAGATGGCGTAATAGTAGATATTGGCTCAGTGCACATGAAAATGATTTTGCAATACAACTGATGGAGAGCATGCATTCTGAGTTTTGTGTATTATACAACTTATTACAAGCAACAAATTCTAGTTTTGTCAATGCCCGTCCTTACATGGGCTGAACACTTGGTTGACCAATTTGTTAAAGCTGACCCAAGAAGACCCACCACCACCTGGCACTGGTTGTGCTTCCGCACCTGCACTCACCTTCCATTCTGCAGCTCGTCGCCTCACACTCCTGAAAACTCGAATACTTTTGTGTGTGCAAAAATCCACAGAAAAATATGAATACCAACAGAAAAATATTTTTCTAACAGTGTACCATCAGAAAATAACCCACAGAAACAGAATGATAGAAAATCGATTTTTTCTGTCGGTTCACCGGTAGAAATAGTTTTTCTATCGGTCTTACACGCATGGGAAAATTACGTTCGTCCAGATCTAAAAATAATTTTTCTATGAGGATATCTACACAGAAAAAATAAACACACAAAAAATACGTGTATTTTTCTATCAGTCTAGGTGAACTCACAGAAAAATTCCTTTCTGATAAGTACTGAAACTATTTCAGTACGGGAGTTGGCCCGATCTTCACGACAGTAGGTTGGAAATTATAAGATAATTTGCTGCGAACAGCAGAGGATAACTAGCTCTATACCTGCCAAGGTGGGATGCGACCAAGCGACGGGGAGAGAGGCACCGAAACCGCGAAGACTTCGACTCGATCTCCGAACGACCGCAGAACCACAACAGGAGCTAATCCACACAAGGCGGGGCAGCCGTACTGGAACCCGCAAAGTATGAACTAGTGGATCCCAGAGGAATCTCTTCATAAGTCCAGGAAGAACAAGGAAGAACAAGGGTTTGAGTAAGCACTCAGCAGCTCGACTGCAATATCACTGAAATTATCAAATCATCAAAAGTCCTTTTCTAGTAGCCTAGAGGTGGTATTTATACTATGAGAAGTCTCTAAGATAGATGTGAACTGAAGAAGTCACGTTGGAAGGTGGAAAGACAACTGGCTAGAGCATTCACAAGGTGGTCTTCAGTTCCCGCGTGTCTTTTGGGCTTCTGTGCAGTTTTCAATATTTTGGTCATAACTCCTTCCTGGAAAGTCCAAATGACGAACCGTTAGATGCGTGGGAAAGCAAACTTCATCATCTTCCAAACCATGTATGCTATGCACCTCGAATTATTGTAAATGGTACATTTTTGCATGGGATCTTTAGCTTCATGCAGACTGTTGAACTTCAGAGCAGTCTTCCTCCTCGGAGAACCTGAGTAATAACAACATGCATGACCGAGGTAGCTCGAAATTACCATCAATGTTTAATTGAAATTCACAAAGTAGCGCGTGCACCTCTTGTTGTATCTTTTTGGCGCGGCTATGAGTGATGGGTCCAGTAAGGACTCGGAGTGGTGTATCAGCTGGTGAGGTGGTCGAAGAGGTTGCCGAGGTCGGTGAAGTGGTCGGAGAGGTCGCCGAGAGAGGTCGCCGAGGTCGTCGAAGTGGTCGCCGAGGTGGTCGGAGAGGTCGCCGAGGTGGTTGGAGAGGTCGCCGAGGTCGGTGAAGTGGTCGGAGAGGTTCCCGACGCTGGCGTGGTCACATCATCCTCCCCCCCTTGAAAAAGAGTCGTCCTCGACTCTTCCAATCCAAAGAATGGAGATAGGTCGGCCACATTAAAATTGGTACTCACACCATAAGTACTAGGTAGATCAATTTCATAAGCATTGTCGTTGATCTTGCGTAGCACTTTGAATGGGCCATTAGCTCGGGCTTGCAACTTGTTTTTGCGTTGTTCAGGAAACCTGTCTTTGCGTAGATGCACCCAAACCAAGTCTCCTGGTTCAAATAACACCTTCCTTCGACCTTTATTGGCGTGGTTCTCATACATCCTTGTCATCTTTTCAATGTTTGTTCGAGCTCTATCATGAAGGTTCTTGACAAACTCGGCTCGCTTACTTGCATCGAAGTTTACACGTTCCTGCATAGGTAAAGGCAAAAGATCTATGGGGCAGTGGGTTGAAACCCATATACAATTTCAAATGGACAAAATTTAGTGGTCGAGTGTACTGCCCTGTTGTATGCAAATTCGACATGTGGCAAACTTTCTTCCCAAAGTTTCAAGTTGTTCTTGAGGATAGCTCGCAGTAGCATTGATAGAGTACAGTTCACAACTTCAGTTTGTCCATCCGTTTGTGGATGACAGGTCATAGAGAACATCAACCGTGTTCCAAGTTTGCCCCACAAAGTTTTCCAAAAATAACTCAAAAATTTAGTGTCACGATCAGAAACAATGGTTCGTGGCACTCCATGTAGTCGTACAAATTTCTTTGAAAAACAATTCAGCGATATGTGAAGCATCATCGCTCTTGTGGCATGAAATAAAATGTGCCATTTTGCTAAACCGATCAACCACAACAAAGATGGAATCTCTTCCCCGCTTGGTTCGAGGTAAACCAAGAACAAAATCCATGGAGATATCTTCCCAAGGCACACTAGGAATAGGTAGAGGAGTGTATAATCCATGAGGATTCACACGGGACTTAGCTTTGTGACAGGATTCGTAGCGAAGAACATGTCTCTCCACATCTCTTCTCATCTTAGGCCAAAAGAAGTGGTCGGTAAGGACTTGTTCTGTCTTCTTGGCACCGAAATGTCCCATGAGTCCTCCTGCGTGGGCTTCCTGCACAAGTAAAATTCGAATAGAGCAATCTGGAATACAGAGTTTGTTAGCTCGAAACAAAAACCCATTATTCACATGAAATTTTTTCCATCCTTTGCCTTCTCGACACTTGGAATATGGTTCAGCAAAATATGAATCAGTTGCATATAAATCTTTTATGCTTTCTAAGCCAAGAATCTTAGCGTCAAGTTGGGTTAGCAAAGTGTGACATCGAGACAAAGCATCTGCTACAACATTCTCTTTTCCTTTCTTGTACTTGACAATATAGGGAAATGACTCAATGAATTCACACCATTTTGCATGCCTTCTATTCAGTTTTAGTTGTCCTTTAAGGTGTTTCAATGATTCATGATCTGAATGTATCACAAATTCTTTAGGAAAAAGGTAATGTTGCCAAGTTTCCAAACTCCGAACGAGAGCATATCATTCTTTATCATAAACTGAATAATTTAGAGTTGGACCACTTAGCTTTTTACTGAAGTATGCAATTGGCCTTCGTTCTTGCATGAGCACACCTCCAATCCCAACTCCACTTGCATCACATTCTATTTCAAATGTCTTACCAAAATCTGGGAGGGCAAGGACTGGGGCTGTTGTTAACTTCATCTTCAATTCTTCAAATACCTTCTGTTGTGCTTCTCCCCACTTAAAAAGCACTTCTTTCTTGGTCAGCTCATTGATTGGTGCAGCAATAGTGCTGAAATTCTTCACGAACCGTCGATAGAAACCAGCAAGTCCAAGGAAGCTTCTGACTTGGCTCACGTTCTGTGGAGGCGTCCAGTCTCGTACAGCCTTGATCTTTTCTTCATCTACCTCCACTCCTTGTCCTGTAACAACAAATCCAA